ACTCACGCGGCGCCATCTTGAAGTCAAAATAACACAACACAACACATCGGACACAGACAGTCGTGCAATCTTCACCACTTTCCTGCATACACTTTGTTGTCTGAAGCAGTTATAGATGAAAGAGGAGAGGATCAAAGTGTCCTTTTTACCAGTGGATCAGAGACGTCATGCTGAAAATGTGCACGTCTGCTACAAGCTAAGTTTTGAAAGCAAACACGAAGCTGTAGCGTCCACTGACAAAAAGAGATTAGTTCACTACTCCTGTCCCACGTAATCCGCTTCAAATCATCAAATGAGTAGTACTAGAGTGTCATACCAGTAATTTTCCAGTGTTATTCCAATGCTGTGTGATATTTGTGTGCACTAGTAGGACAACTTTGCTATATTAGTACACCAACTACATGTTAATAAATGGGAAAAACTGTGCACTACTTGACATGGATAATCACTACAAAGGTCCATGTACTAGTACGCTGTTTGTGATCATTAGTGAGGAAATTCAAAACACTACCAGTAGGATTATGTTTTACGAGTAATATTATTCCGCACAACTGTAAGCAAGGCTCATCAGAGCACTTGCAGATGGCTGCCTACTCGGGCGCCATCTTGGACTTCTTTTCATTTGACACATTAAACAGCCAACCAACTTTGAATGATTACAAAAAAAAATCAAAATAGTAAAAAAATCATTCTCACTGCTCTCTGCTGTGGGTGTGTCCGCTAAATGTGCTGAAACCACTGCGGTCAATCAAATGCCACTTCTGTAACCCTGCCAAGCAACAACGAGGCACTCTAAAGTGGCCGTGCCAGCACAAAGCCTCAGTCCCAATGCAGGTAGTCAAGTCGGAATTTAAAAAAAAAAAAAAAAAAAAAATATATATATATATATATATATATATATCTCCTGCGTCCTCACAATTCACACCAAGTGCTCATATATCACTGGGCTTCAAATTTAGCCACGCCCAAATATCAGACAAACAATGCTTTATCTTCAACCTTCTGTCCTGCATGCAATAGGTTTCAGTTTTTGCACATTTTCAATTATCTTTGGACATGCCTCATGCCTGACACAAATCTCTAAATTCACTTTTCAAGATGGTTTAAGATAAGATCAAAGAGGTGCTCTTGATTAAACAACCCTAGTAATCCGCTTTTGACTAATGCTTGTATTCCCTTATTGTAGGAATGCAAAATCATATTGAAGCTTATCCATTTCTGCGAGCTATTGACGTCATTTTAACTCCCATCATCCGCAGTACAGTACAGTAGCAACTCCAAAGCTTTCTGCCGCCGCTCCCTCGCATCGACAGAAGCCAGCACACGGAACACGCTGGCCCCGCTTGGCAGAGCTTGTTGCACTCCCGGCGTAAAAGAAGAAAAAAATAACGAGAGAAATCGGGAAAAAAAAAAATAAAAATGAAGCCTCCCCATGGAGAAAGTACAGTAAAGCGAAAGAAAGCAGGCGGGGATAGCGCACCGTCACATCAAAAACTCCCTGAATCCTCTCCAGTTTTTAGGAACACGTTGTCACCGGGTGAAGGTGGAAAGTGGGAGGCGGGGGAAAACAAAAACAATTTTGCATCTTTTTTCCGCAGTCGCTTATGTGAAGTCTTATTAAAGACGAGCAGCTCTGCCCATAGGGTGATTTTCCACCCCCCCAACCCCCGCTCGTTTTTTTCTGTGCCCCAAGTTTCCCCTGGATTTGTGGGATTGCATGCAAATCTATGGCAGTTAAATAAGAAGTACAACTTTTCTGTTCAGCTGCCAAATCCTTCAGGCGGGGAAAGGAAGAGTGCGAGAGGGCGAAAGGCTTCACAGTAGACAAATAGATCAGATAAATGTACCTTCCCTGACGTGTGCACACTTTAATTAATCATCTGATCGAGTGACGAATGGCGCCGATCAGATTTGAATGCAAAAAAGTGGATTGAGACAAGCTTTTGGACAAATATCATCCACCAACATCTATATATCAGTATTGTACCGCAGAGAATCAATCATTTTCCCCCCCAGTCCGTCCCTCCAAAATGATTTTTAAAAAAACCCATTTAAAACAAAAAATAAAATAAATCAGACTAATCCGAATTACAGGATTAATAACGATGGCAGCTCAGCACACTTGAGCAAACGAGCTGTCATGTCATATTTTACCGATCCGGTCAATGATGTCATTGATCGATAGGCAAATGATGAAAATGGATTGAGTCACACCATTACTGTCATTGCTAGTTTAAGAAGTCAAGTGTCAAATGTTACTTTGTGTTGGATGTTGACTGTTGATAGCACCGATTTCAATGAAAGAAATTGTGTATTGGGCCATACAGTCCTCTCATGTTTTTCTCAGCAACGTTGGACTTCAGAGTTCGAGAATGAAGCAGATTGTTCAAACTTTATGTTACTAAACCATGTTTTCTGATGTAAAACATCGGTAGGACAGCTTTTAAGGCAAACAAAAAAAAAAGCAGACTGAGAGTCATAAGGTTTATTTGGCAACACAGGACTGAAGAAGTTGAGAATGGAGCCGACCATGTTGATCATCCAAATATTGGAAGTCAAAAGTGACACCTTAAACGGCCAAACGAGGCGATAGGAGATGAGCTCACTGCATCTCCATTCCCTGAAGTAGATTATCAGACATACTGTGAAAGTTTTCTTTTTTGGCAAAAGAGGCGTTCAGATGGTAGTCATAAATTAGTCAGCGAATGAGGCCCACTCATCGCGCCTCACCTGCCAAAGAAACTGTCGTCGCTCAGCTTCTCCAGCCCCGCGCGTCGCCGCCGCCTTCGCCTCAGCCACCAGACGCTTCCGACACAAAGTTTAAAGCGCTGACTCGGATCCCACTCCTTCCCGTCCCGTTCCGTCCCATCCCGCCCTCCCATCATCTCATCAAGCCCGGTGGCGCACTCTCCGTGGATGGGCCATCGTCGGGCCGGCCGACCCTTGTAAGGAAGCCCATTAAGGAGCCCATCAATATTTAATCTGAGCTCACTCGGAAGCAGAATTGCAGAACTTTCCAGACCCGAGCCATTAGGGGGCAGATGTCAATACGTCACCGCCGTCTTGGGCTACAAGCCCGCCCTCCCCGCCCACCCTTCCCTTCTCTGGAGGAGTCATCCGAGAGGCTTTCTGGAGACTTGTTTCCGCTTCGTCTACATGAAACAAATCATTAACCATTAGGTGTCCGCCACTTCCTGTCGGATGCGAACGACTGCGGAACCCCACGAGACGGTAGATGACAGCTTGTTTGTTAAAACAAAACCCACGATGCTATATCTTGTTGGACTTTTGGGCTCACAGCTGACGAAACAGGTCAGGTGACTTTCTGCCGACGGGTAGCTGCTTAATTCTCGTCCATAAAGCTTGAATATATGAATACTTGAGCTGCGAGGAGGGTGGAGGGCTGGCCCGCAGGCTGGGGCGCGTTAAATATTGCTGACATCTTAACGAGTTTGCCAACCGAGGTTTGTCCTTCATTGTCCTTGCTGCGCAGTCGACCCAAAAAAAAAAAAAAAAAAAAAAAGGTACCATCTATGCATTTTAGTGGCAACATCACAGTGAACCGAGCCCAGGTGCGAATTGCAAAAATCTTGCAAAGTGGTTTATTTTAGGAACTTGGCCAGTTAATCTGTGTGTTGTAATTTACAGCAGCTCCTGGTGAAAAGTTTTCATTTTCTATTTGTGCGTTTGACTCTTTGTCCCCCTTCGATAAATAGCTGAATGTGCACCTTATATCACTATCCGCCACTGCATGGCAAAAAAAAATAAAAAATTCTTAAAATAAAAGATTGCAGAAAGAAATCTGTAAAGTATCAGGGCATGAACGAAGATGAACTGTGATAAAGTGGGGGAATACTGTCATGGATTTGCAAGCAGCACCCCATTAGACGGACGCAATGCCAACTCGTTGCACTTATGTCATCGCGCTAGCTAAGAACCCTAGAGATCTTAATTAAATCACCTTTGCCTGCGTGTCGTTTAAGCTTCCTGCTTATTTTCCGTGGTGGGAAATAAGCACGTGCAAATACTTTGTGACTCTGCTTAAGTGGATTTTTCTGGTATCTGTACTCTACTTGCATGAACGACGGTGGCAACAGATTTGTAGAAGCAAGATTCCCTTTCCGTGGCCCTTTTTAAGATGTTCATAAAAAAGGGAAATTGTTTTTTTTTTTTTTTTCTTCATTTCATGTAACAATTGACAGTAAAAATGGTTTCCGTCAAGTCCCTGTAAAGTGAAAGTAGAAAACGTATTCTAGGTGACGAGAGGCGCTAGCCACTAGCTAGCTAACAAACGAACAAATTTAGTGGATTCCTCTCGTTTGGTGGGGCTCATTGATGACCTCACCTCCTCGCTTGGGGAATTTAAACGACTCCATGCTGTTTTGTAAACTGTGGCATCAAGGGAGGATGGATTTTTTGGGGCGTGGACATGGCTGCTAGCTAACGGCGCGGTGAATTTGTGTTGGATAATCACTGATGCAAATGAAGGCACTCAAGTTCTGATTTAATGGGGGCGGGCGACTCTTGCCAGATACAGAAGTGCATTTCTTGGCACCCTTTCAGCCCCCCCCAAAAAAAAATTACCCCCCCAAAAAAAAATAACAGTTGAATGTTCAAACAATTCCGTATGACAGTTCTCCTTTTGCCCATTTTCAGCATTTATCTTGTATGATTTTAATACGTCTCTGACTTCTTTAATCTAGAACAGCAGGTCTGTCCTTCTATTTTTATACTTATGTACCAGTCCTTCTCCTTTTACGAGAGATTTTGAAGTAGGTATACTTCTATTTAAGTACAGAGTGTTGAGTACCTTTAGTGGAACTGGAATGGGTGTGCCCGAGAATCATGTTTTCTTCAGTCACACTCGTAACGAATGCCCAATTGCCTCATTGGATACCCCTGACCTAAGCACCCAAGACCCCCCCCCCCCACTGCATGCCACTGCCCCCCAAGCCATGCCCTTAGAGCTCTCTCGACTTCACACGCAGCAAAAAACTCACCAGGGTACAGAACCTCTCGGGCGGGTTCCCGCACGTGACGCCGGGCGGGTCCACCTTGATCCTCATGTAGTCTTTCATGGACTCAGCCCGAGGCTGGCACGCGTAATGCTCCCACACGGAGCCGTCATCCGTGCTCACCAGAGACTTGCATAGCTCGTACTGGCCCCCCAGCGCGGAGGCCGAGCAGTGCAGCAGCAAGAGCGCTACCCAAAGGAGCATGGCAGGCGGGGTGGCGGTCGGGGCTCGGTGGAGGGGCGACGCGCATGGGGTGCCGATCATAGGGAGACGTCGGACATCCTCGGTTGACTTTCACTGGCCGATGAAGAAGTGACTGCAAATGTCCCCCGGGACGGATCCGGGACACTCTTCCTTTCTCGATTGGGCTTTCGGGGTTTGCTTTTGGGGAATGATCCTGGCGTGCAGTTTAACCATAGTGCCGCCGAGAGTGCGGGATGGCGTTCACACAGTTACGTGCCTCAAAGCCGAGGTCAGGGCCGTGTCTCCGGCCCTCTTGATTGTCCTGCAGGGTGGAACATGAACAAATTTTCACAACTTCACAAATTCTGTCACTCCGCGCTACATGACAAGTGCTCTCCTCTTGTGCTTCATATATGAAGAAAATAGTCTTGTCTATCGATCCATCCATCCATCCATCCATCCATCCATCCATCCATCCATCCACTTTGACTGTGACTGACTGACATAAGCAAGTGGGCAAGTGACTTGTGCTCTGCGTGGAAGACTTCTCAATGGAAATTGAAGCCACAAAGGCACATTAGATGTTGGCAACGTGGCAAACAAAGTGATGGAAAGCGAGACCATCCGAGCTTTATTTATGACGTTAGAGTTGCGATGCATCTAACTTGAGAAGCGGTCGTAAGCCACTGCGTTTATTGTACTTCAAAGTCTGTCAACTGTTGTGCGGTTAGCAGCATTTGTTTTTCTAAATTAGTGTTTACAAAATAGTTGGTGTTGTGATTTTACCACAAAATACTATCGGTGATGTTTTTTGCCATCGTGCACACAAGAAATACACACAAAATAATACTAAAACCAATTAAACTAAAACAAAGCTTTTTGGAAAAACTACAACTTAATTAAAACTAACAAACCCATTCTGGAAACTAATTAGAGCTAACTAAAATATAAAAAAACAAAATAAAAAGTATAATGAAAAACTATTCTAACCTCTGGTAGAGTCACGGGACTCCATAATGACGACAATTTTGTCAGTCGCCAAGCGCAAATACATTTTTTACATTTGCACAATTGACACGGAGGAAGAAGTGTGGCTCAAGTCGCTGGCACCGCCCATGAGTGGGAGCCATCGAGTCCATCTCCTGTCGCAAGAGCATTTAATGATTTAAAAAGGTGCTGTGGAAGAGTATGCGCGAGGAATTAAACTATAAAGCACTTAAAGGAGTTTATAAAAACATGATGAATACGTGTGGGCGAAAGGGGCACACTTTGTATTTTTCATGTGTTTATGTGGAGAGTGTGCATCTGTTTTAGTTTCTGATTGTAGATGCAATTAATTGTGAAGGGATCGGATTTAGACAACTTGTTCCTACTCTTTTTTTTGGGGGGGGGGCAGGAATACACTGTGTTTTGGTATTGGACTTTTTTTGTACTGTGTGTTAGAAAACAAAAATGTTTATTCACTCAAAAGAGAAAAAAAAATTGTCATCCATTCCGTACTGAGGTGACCAAAATGAGGCCCAGAGGCCGTTTGTGGTCCGTCTTAAATTTTCCTGCGGCGTACAATAAAACTGGCATTTAACAGGAGATGGAACTTTAATTAAAAAAAAAAAAAATGCAGGAGTGGGCTCCGTTTCTATGTTGAAAAAATGAGCCCCTCCCTTTTGATAAATGTAAGAATTTCAACGTGGCCGTTGCATTTTTGCTCTTTTTTTCTGTCAAAAGTTTAGACAGCGCTGATTTCAATTGAAAAAGGGACTTCCCCGAAAACCCCCCCTTGCCACCCCCACCCCAATGCCCTACTTTACAGAGCACGTGGAGTTACTTGTGTGTCTTCATTCAATCCAATTCGGATCAGTACCGTAAAGCACCCCATCCACACTTGTCCCACTGTCTCGTGTGTCTTCGCCCCCGGAATGAAAAAGTCAAGCAAGTGCTCCGTCATCACTTACTAGTCGCGCGCATCCGCGGGACGGTCGCCGTCCTCCCCTCTCCTGGCGGGACCGGCGCCGATCATCCGCTGTTGTTTCCTGTCAGTCATGAAGAAGAAAAATCCGAATGAAAATTAAAAAAAAATGTCTTTTGCTAGCACGGGCGAGGATGTCCTCGACGGCGCAAAAAGGAGTATCAAAAAGTAGAAAATGTTGACTCGGAGGGGAAGGCTGCTCGTCGTCTTCCTCCTCCCCTCCCGCTTTCTCTCTCTCTCTCCTTACCGCGCCTCCTCTTCTTCCTGCTTCTCTTGCACACTTTACGAGCTTTACTCGGGATGCTGAAGGGCGCTCACTCCCTCACTCGCCCATCCCCCCCACCCCTCTCCCTCTCTCTCGCTCCCTCTCTCTCTCTCTCTCTCTTTCTCTCTATCTCTCTAATACCCAACCCAAATCCTTCTGCTAGTCACTTTCAATCACTATCCGGTCCTCACGCCCCGGGCCCCGCCCACATTCTCATTCAGCAAGGGCGGTGCACCCTGCCCGGTCCCCATCCCAGGTGGTCCCGAGCTGCAACGACGTAAAGTGTGCACAGGCTTCTGCCGCACGCATGCACACCTCCTCCTCACAGATGTCTTTTTTTCCTACCCCGCCCACACCCCCTGCTCCCC